AGGGGCTGCAACTTGGCATCATTGGTCTGTGTGCATGGTCAGGTCCCTAAGTGGCTCACAACAGTCAGGGTGCCCTGTGAGACCTGCTGTTAGCACAGGCTGCTCCCAGGAGGATTCCCTGACTTATGTTCCTGGTGGGCCATGGGATCTGCTGGGAGTACAAGGTGACCTACTGGGATCCTTCACTCTGTTCCAGTGTAAGAAGTCCCATAGCATGTTTGTCTAGGGAGGATGTACAGGCAAGAGAAAAGAAGGAGGAGCACCAGGAGGAGTAAGTATTTCCACAGCATGATTTGGGGACAGACCAGCTGAACGTTAGATCACTACTAAAACAGTGCCTGGCCAGGTGTGGTAAGGAGATGCAAAGTCCTAGAAGGAGCTCTGCAAGGCTGGGAATACGTGGGGACTACTATTGCAGAATTTAGTAGAGATGGCAGGCAATACCCTGCTCCTTACCTTCTGCAGAAGACAGCATGGACGACCTCACAGGGAGGGTGAGCAATGGAGAGCCCACCGAAATCTGCAAACTGTGGTCCAAGATGTCCCTAGTCCTGGCGACGCCAGGACCATCAAGCACACTGATGATAAAAGAGGATAAATGAGATTTCAATGTGCATCTCCAGTGGACACTGCAGCTTGAATGCAGCACCTTGGCCTGCTTGGCTACTCTATAGCTCACTGCCTGCTGTTGGAGACAAGATGCTGGACTAGATGGAGCTTCGGTACAGCCTTATGCCAATTCTTACAGTTGCATGTATAGACATGGGATAAGTTCTTGCTCCCGTTTGCAAAACACCCAGGCCAACGGCTTCTAAAGAGGCTTTTCAATTTGGATACCTGCATTTTGAGTCTATATTTTGGGTCATGTTTCAATTCTACCTGAGTATGCTTAATTACTACTTTGACAATCAGGGCCGGCACATCTGAAATGGCTCACTCCAAAGTCCAGGCATTTAGAGGAGCGACTGTTTGTGTATAATTAATTGGGTGTTATTTATTGAGCTGGCAGTGGGAGACAGTCTGTAGCACAAAGCTCTGCACCGCCCAGCAGGTCACAGTTCTAGTGTTTTGGTTTTTCAGTATTGCTGGATTGCCACTGTTTAAACAGCAAAGGCAGACCCTGACCCCACATCTGGCATGAAGGGGCAGAGAAGAGAACTTTGTCCTTAAACTTTCCTAACTCCAGCTTGTGAGTAATCTCCGTAGCTCTCATTAGCTGCAATCTGGAAACTCTCAGTTGCTTTTAATTGTTGGTGTGGTGAGCGTCAAGATCCTAGCGTGACAGGAAAGTAAACGCTGTAACTGCAGCTCTGCTGGGCCCCTCAAAATACATGACCACTCGGCATTTCTGGCTGTGGACTCTTCTGTCGCTGTGCTTTGGCTGTCGGTGTCACATTACACACAGTATATTATTTAAAAAATGGTTGTCTACTAAAACATAAAACAAAAGCCTTCCCGTGTTTGTCAGTTGAAGTAGACAGTTTTTATTCCTGCACAAGAGATTAATAATAATAAATATAAATAAGCACATGCCCCCTTGCCAGTGGCTTCACAATAGACATGAGGCACATGGATGGACCTTACTCAAAGCAGGAACCTAAACGCAGTGGGACAGTGGGCATTTGATAATCATATCCCAATACAGAAAAATCTGTGCCTTGCTAGAAATGCTAAATACTGTTTTGACACCTTTCTTAACCTTTGATTCTTCATTGTGGAGAGTGCCTTACTGCTTGTAGAGACCTATGGTTTTGGGGGTTTTTTATACTCTGTGCTTCTTGATGAATGCTGGCACACAGGGGCCAATACATGAAATAAGAAGGAGTCTTACATAGCTTTTGCACCCACTAGAATAAAAAATAAGAAAAACCCACTACCCGAGTACCTGAGGGAGCTAGTACTTACCTGATTCACAGAAAAAGGATATGATTCCATGAACAGCATTCTCAAGGCTCTATCAACACTGAAAAAAATGTAGTCTTGACTTTTTAACCTTATACCATGCATCCATCCCACATCCTTGTGCTTCTAGCCTCATTTCCCACAGAGAATGAAATTTCTGTGATCATGCCGTCTGGCTGTCTATCAGCCGGTATGTTCTGAACCTGCTTTCTATCAAACTGACAGAGGGATTGGGGCTCAAAGAGAATTAAGTGCCTATGAAATTCATGAAAATCAGCCTCTGGGTCGAAGATGGAGATCCAAACGAGTGTCCCTGCTAAGGGAAAGGTAGGCAGAATGCAGCCGTTTTACACGTGGCTTGCTAACATCAGTCATCACGCACGGCTCTGGACTCACCAGAGCAGATGGTGCTTCTTGCTCAGGGAGATCGAGGGCTTACGGTTGGTGTAGTGAGTGGCACAGGTGAGGGAAGGAGAGGAAGGGGCAATAGGACACCATTGTAGGAAAGCAGGTCTCATTAGGTCCACAGAAAAATGCGTTTACCTATGAAATTCCACTTAGTCACATAACTGTACGGTTCCTGCGGTTTCCAAGGGCCCTGCAAAGATGTGGATCTGTTTCTCATGGAGAAGGTGGATGGGCAACCAGTGCCGCTTCACTCCCACACCCCAGCACATCCCACTGAGCTCCCCTTGCTCCCACTGCTCAGGACTGGAGTGAAACTGGAAGCAGCTTCCAGGGCTCTGGAGAGAATGGGCTTGCTCTTTGAAACCATTTAAAGTTAGGACGGAAAGTACAGCCTGGTTCAGAGTTTCCCTAAAGAAAAAATCCCAGCCAGGGAAAGTTTAGAAGCAAAACAATTTCTCCTCCCCCAGCAAAGAGAGTTTCAGTTTTTGTTTTTCATGCCTTGCTCTCTTGCTTCACACACTGTGCTGTGGAACAGCAGCTGAGCTTGCAAATACTCCCGGAGGAAAAGGGCTGTTTTGCTTGAAGCTATGCCTGTCCTAGAGGGGAAACCCGGGTGTTTTTAAGAGTCCTGACTCCTGTATTTTAAGTAACCGAGGTAGAATGTTGTTTAACATCACCCTGGCAAGCATGTGTGGCATGTACGCTTCCCAGATCAGCCCGAAGCCTGACCCTTTATGCTTACCCTCAGTGCACTTCTGTGTGGGCAGACTTGTGACCTCAACCTTAGGTGTGCCAGAGCCCCTCCGGACTACATCTGGTCAGGCCGTTTTGGGAAAAATTGCCCCCAAAAAACCCACAGCAGGGGCAGGAGCTTACTGTGGTTTGCTCACTGGGGGTTTCCCTGCAGTGAAAAGGGAGGTAGAGAAAGTTTCTGCCTCTTGACTGGTTTATGAAGGATAAATATGTAGCTCTGCAGGACTCACAGAAAGAGGCACTTGGGTGAAAGCTGAGTGCCCTTCTTGGAGGTGGGCTTGATGTGTGACTGACTCATGGGGGCAGGAGAGCCATCATTTTAGTGAAGAACAGATGTGAAATATATTAACTGGAGCCCTCTTCTCTCCAAGATTTCCATCAAGCAACCCCCCCTCACTTCTGTCTTCTCAAGGACTCTATTATTTCACACAGGAGGAAGAAGTGAGAGTTCAGGATTTTCTCTCCCTCTAAAGAGATCCGCTGGGATTTACATTTTACTTGTACCTTTCTCCTAAGTGATGGATTGAGGTCCTTGAAACTGGAAAACACTAAAAGAAATATAAAGCTTAGAGCCTGTTACATTTACTATGTGGGTCATTGAAGATAGAAGCAAAAAGCTTTAAAAATAAGTAGACTATTTCAACAGCAAGGCCTCCGGTGAAATGGCTGTCTGACTTCCCTCACAGAACAGATTGGAGTTTCCAAAAGTGTAACCCACCCACAACGTTTACCCATCTGAGTTGGACTTTTGCACACCGAGGACTTGACAAACTGACTTCTTACAAATCTTCCTGGAGTTGATTTGGCTTTAGGGTGCCCAGCCTGATGTGGCTTCCAGGAACCTCGTTTTCAAAAGGGGCTGACCATACACTCTTCACCCATCAAAACATCCAAAACCCCCTCCTGGGTTCTCTCAGGTTCTCTCTCTCTCTCTCTCTTCTCTGTAAGATGGCTTCTCTCCATTGTGATCTCAGTAGCCTAAAAACAGCAGCCAAAACTGTTTTCCACAAATAACGTGTCAGCAACTTTCTGAGTTTCGTGATTTGTAAATGCTTCTGTGATCAACCTCATACTTCTTCAAAAATTCTCCAGGAGGAAACAGCTCTTACAGATCACAAGGAAAGGACTTCTTTTTTTCTTTTTTTTCTTTTTTTTTTTTTTTCCTTTTTCAGATATCTAGAGGGTATGTCCAGATGATTCCTCATCTGCAAGCTGCCTTGGTTTTTTTTATGAGGAAACTTTCCAGCATATAATTTGGTAGAATTATGTCACTCCAGCTGCCCCTGCTTGTCTTGAAAATGACAAAATACACTAAGAAGAGAAGCTGCTTCTATATCATGAGTGCCTACATGGGGAGTTACACATGTAACACTACAGAAATATAGTTCGTTTTGCTCAGCCATGATGTAAATTGCTGCTTAGCCCTTAGACCCAAGTCATAGTGTCCTCGTGGTGTGCCCTTGACCTGAGGGCTTAAATGCAGTTTCAGAAATGTTGCTTTGTATGGCCAACCTTTGCACAGACGCTGTTCTGTTAGAGATGCAGAGAAAAGGTTGAGAGGGGATTTTGGGAGGCTGACAAACCGTTTCCTCCGCCTTTTGTCACTCAAAAGATAGATTCTTTCAGTGCTGATTTTGATGCCCTTCACACTGAGCCACAGTGCCCCACGATCAACTTTATTTCTGTTCAGGTCAGCACAAGAGGGGAAAAAAAAAAAAAAAAAAAAAAGAAAAAAAGGGAGGTGAGGTGCTACCAGTGCAGGCAGTTGCAGAAATGGGAGTGACCTAACAGATTTAATGGGAGGAGCACCGGCTTCTACACATAGGGATTTTCCCTGTGATGGGGAACTTCAAGATAAGCTGTCTGGGGATTCCCCAGGTTGCCTCCAGAAATATCACTCTAGAAGCAGTAGCAGTTTCACTCTGCTCTCCGTCCTGCGAAGAGGCACACTGCTGCTGCTCTGTGATTTGAAGCAGCAAAAGCCATGTCTTTGGTAACCTGCTCTCTGCTCATCCTCCTGTGCAACGGTAAGTGGGGAGCCTTGCCTTTTTCATTCCGGTCTCTCATGTTTGTTTTGTGGGGATATGTTTTTGGGAAGACAGGGAGGATTACCTAGGCGATCTCTTTAAAAGGAGATGTGTACCTGTGCTTTGCAGTTTGGTGCTTGATCAGTGGGGCTTCTGTGGCGGTCCCAGATGTTGCTGCAAGATGTGCTGAAGAAGTGCTGCTGCCCTGTAAAGTTCTTCGGGACTCCTCAATCACCTACCAGACAGCATCTTGGTATAAAGTAAGAAAAAAGCCTAAGTTCCCTGAGCAGTCTGCTTTGCCTTCTTACCCTATCCTGGCTTGTCTTGTGCAAAATGTGTTATTTTATGAAGAGGCATCCACCTCTCAGTGCAGCAGAGATAAGGCAGCAATGAAAGCATCTGAGCTGATCACAGAGAACTGGCATTTTCCATGTCATTGTAGACAGACTGTGTGAGTGTGATCCCTGAATTGCTCTTGTCCTGCTTTTCTATCTAGCTATTGCTGGCTTCCAGGGATCAGAATTCAGGTGATGCCCCATGTACATATACCACTCCAAAGAGGAGTCCAGGATTTTTCTTCAGAGCACTTAAACCTTGCAACATCAGTGACATTGTGCCTTGGTTAATCTCTCCCCGAAGAGGAGCTGATTTTTATTTTGAAATAGAAGAACTAAACAAGTACTTTCTATTTAGGAAGATTTGGCTAGTGGAGGTGGGCATAAGGGCAGGGTGTGCAGAAGGCTGATGGAGAGCTAGAAATTCTGAGTTATCTCTTTGCAGCCACAAAGTAAAGGTGTAATCTTGGCTGCCCTGGTTCAGAATTCACATCTCCAAAGCAGGAGAGCCTTGCTGTCCCAGGAGGGCTACAAGGAACAATTGGCTAATGAGCAGAAAGTCCCGTTCAACTCTTTCAAGATAAAATTTCTCACAGAAAGAGAGGCAGAGTTGCACAGTGGTTGAAGAAGCGGCTTTTGACTTGCTGTATGGCACCATGTGTTTGCATCTCAGTGCATAGTTTCAGCTTATGGTGTGAGCCAAATTAACGGGAAAAAAAGGAAAGTTTTGTCCTCCCCCATTACTCACACCCAGACGTGCAGTCCTGCTGCTTACTATGGGTCAGTCCTGGTGGTCCTCTGGTTGCCTGTTAAGTCAAGTCACTTTCCCTTGTTGTAATAATGGAAAATCAATCTGTGAGTAAAGATTTTGTGGGTTACAGAGTTGAATTACTTTCCCATGTGATGGGATAGCAGTGGAACGGAAAAAAACCTATTCTTGATGGGCAAAACCTGTTAATTTATCTCTGCTAGAATATAAAACCACATCCTTGGCTTCCCCAGCAGTTTGGTCAGATATAGTTTTAAAATTATTCCCTACAGTAAACCAACAAACTGTGTTACTAGATAGGGCTTCTGTGGTTGAAACTTGCAATGCATATGAGTTTCAGTGCTGGTACAACAAAGAGCATGTGCCTACTGACAACATGGCAGCTGCAACCCAAAGGTACATAACTCTGAAAGAGCTGTTTTGAACATCTGGCTACCAGCCCACCAGCAAGTGTGGCATCTATAGGCACCTTTTTTTCCCCAAAATGCTGGACTAAGTGCGGGTGGGAGTAGAGTAGGGAATAATGCATTTGGTTGAATATTACTATGGGAGTTGGGACAGGCGTCAATTTACTCTTTTTTGCTTTCTTTTTCAAAAGCTGCATAAGGACATACATTTTCAATGCAGATACTTGCTAGTTATTTAAGGGTCCATGTTTCCCACAGAGCCTACAGGGAGCTCACTGTGGGCAAACCGTGCAGTTTGGTGGACCTGGAGGAGTCAAGCAAAGTGGTAAGGGGTGGGAGAGGAAGAAACAGAGAGATTGACTGGATCCCTGAAAATTGTCCCTCAAACCAGTATTGGAAGTCGACAAAAATGAAAACAGTTTCAGCAGGCTGAAGCATGGAGATCCTCCAGAAGCATGTCCTTCTGAGTTCAGTGGCAGCTGGGAGGGCCAGGCAGCAAACAGGAGCCAAACCCCATTACCCTGATGAAAGAGGGTGAGGGAACTCTGTAGGCCCAATTCTGTGTTGTCTTGCAGCTCTTTACAGTTCCACGTGGGCATGAACCGACTGCACATGCAGGGGAGGGTGATATTTGATGATGCCTTTTGCGTGTGCCCCTTCCTCGGCAGCCCTCACTACTGCTGCTGCCCTTTGCAGCAGGCAGGCTGTTGCAGTCCAGGCTCCCCCCGCACCTCCCCTGCCCTGTCCCACCAAGCTCCTCTCCCTCCATTGTCTCCTTGCTCCTCCTGCTTAATCCATGTTGCTCAGGAAAAGACTGGTTTTCTGGTGCTCAGCGTGACAGGACCTCATACTTTTTTTCTCTGCTGGCACTGCCGAAACAACAAAAAGCAATAAAATCTAGCTGTCTTCAGCTATTGCCACCATCCTTGGGGGCTGATGGCACCAACCATGGTATGCAATCTGCTGGTTACTCATCTGAGGAGCAAGATGAGAAGTGGGGACGGGTAGTTAACGCCACTCTTGGTGATTCTTGCCCAAGCCACAGTCGCAGCCATATTAGGAAAAGCACAACACCAAAGCTAAAAAACCTGACTCTCAGCAGGGGAAAGTAATTTAGGCTCAGTGTTCTGTGCTGAAGAAGCAATACTTCTTCTACTTGTGGGGCTAGCTAAATAGGCAGCAACTGGAAGTCCTCTCCTCTCCTCTCCTCTCCTCTCCTCTCCTCTCCTCTCCTCTCCTCTCTCCTCTCTGCTGTCCCCACCCAACACTGCAAAAAGAGGGTGGGAGAATGGCAGAACGTGACTGGGCTACCCAACATAGAGAATTAATCTGTTATTTAAAAAACAACTACTGAAGGATTAATCAATAAACACCACGTATACCCTTAAAGGGCTAATTAAAAGGTAATTCCAACAAATGCTATGAAATTTCAGACTGTAAAGTTCAAGCAGCTGTTAGGCTCAATCTTTTGTATGAGGTCACTTTGAACTGTGCAGTAAATGCAAGCAATTAACCTTTTCTTCTGCTGCTTTAAAAAAATGGTGGCGACAACGTTACAGTGCCGCACGTGCAGCTGTTTGTGCAGGGTGAACGCTCGGCAAACAACCCCCTCCTTCCTCCTGGCACCTCTGCATGCTCTGACCAGTGAAGGGGTACTTTTAAATAGTTTGTTACCATCTGCTTAAAAAAAAAAAAAAAAGATGCTATTTAAAAGTACTTGATTTTTCAGTTGCGTATGGAGAAATAATTGTTTAAAGCAGTTAATATTCCGGCGTCAAAATCTAACTGGGTGTAAAAAGGAAGGATTGCATTCAACAGTTCCTTCGCTTTTGCTGATGTCTCGTACGGCAAAAAGGCGTGCACGTGTTTAACCTGCCGTTGCACCCAGTATCCTTGGAGCTCATCAGGTTATCTGCATGCGTGAAGTCTCATGCGTAAGTAGTTCTGTGCAGAATCAGGACCACAGTCAGTCAGCTCAGACAAAAAGATTTTTACTTAGAAGTACTTGAAGTAGGCAGGCCTAGCACGCTGGGGAGAAGGTAGAGCACCAAGTCCTCTTCCAGCCTGGTGCAGCTCTCATCCTAATCACTATGTGTCGTGAGAAAATTAGGGAGAAGTTTTCATAACCGTGGTAGCCCTTAGAGGAGGTCCATTTTTAGGAGAGCTGGCCAACCTACATGCCAGAAAACCGTATATGAGCAGTGTGGAAGTTTGCCAGCTGAGAACTGAAAACTAGGCTATTTTTGCAAAACCACCCGGGCACTGGGAACTGTGTATGGAATATGGGTTTGAATCTCTATGGCCCACCTACGAAACAAGGATCTGGGTAATGAAACCTTACTTACCTTTCTGCCTCATAGGGCTATTGAAAACTGAACAGTTTCTCTTTGTGTAGTACGTTGAAAATGAGAACCACTTCATAAAACCTCATAATTATCACTTTATATCCAGTTTGAAAACCAGGTTTAAACACACACAAATGAAGCCCCAGTGGATATTTCTCTATTTTGTTCATGTTCATGATAGCCAGAAAAGTCTTAATCTAAAACAAATCTTGAGAATGAGGAAAAGAAGGCTGCACTTCAGTGGGGAGAAGTCTGTTAACTTTATAATGCTTCCCTGAAAAATACAAAATTGTGGCAGAATTAGAGGGGGAAGTCATATTACAAAATAAGAATAAACCTTATAGACATTTAATATTAATCACACCTTCCTTTAAAGGAAATTACTTTTGCAAAGTGCGCATAGCTGTTATCTGTTAGCATAGGTAAATAGTTGCTGAATGACTTCGGCCTGATTTCTAGTAGTCCTGAAGAAAAGCAGGGAAATGCTCCTCAGGCAGCTATTCAGCTCCAAGTAGCTCCGACACATTGACGACTTAGACAGGAAGGGAGCAGTGGAAATGATTTCATGACCAAAACAATTCTTTTGCCTGACATGAGCTAGTGCTGGATGCCCTTAGCTAAAGAAAAACAATGAAGAGGCTGTGGGACTGAGTCAGAGGGCTTTTCCAGCTGGCTCATGTGTCACATGCAGTTCCTTTGCTGTCGTTTTGGGGTTGGGTTTTGGTTTTTCTTCTTTTTTGTTTCCCCGCTAAAGCACAGTCAGAGTTCACTCACATGTGCCCACAATTTATGTCTGTTTTTTTCGAATTTAACATTGGTATCTCTACATGACATTGTATAGGAACCATATGGATGCACCTTCAGCACTAATCGAATGTGAAAGTGTTTTTGTGCTGAAAAATACACCTATTAAGCCGTTTCAGCTCAGTTGTGATTCATTATATGTTGGCTATCAGGCATTGCCAGAATTCTAGATATTTTGCTTCAGAAAATAAATTCCTTCTGGCTGTATATAGTTTTTAGATCTCTTTAGCAGCCAGAAAAATTTCAACTTGGCCATTATTCCTGGTATAATTTTAAACAAAACCATTTTTACAATCATCCCACCCTCAGAAGAGAATAAATTAATGTTAATACATTCCACCTTTAAAGTGACATCAGTTTTGGACCTGAACCATTTTGTCTGAAATAAAAATTTGCGTTTATGGGAAAAGTGGATTATATTGGCACTTTGATTTACCTGGGAGCCAATGTACCACCTTTGTCTGGGAAAAGTTCGATGAGAAAAGGTATTTAATGAGAGCAGAGAACAGGAGTTAACAACTGCTTGCTCTCACATGTCCATGATAAAATTAAGTTTTACTTGATTAGTTGGGTGTAAGTACTACAGCACGCATGAATTGCCTTTGTTTAGCGGCACTGTCATTTAATGCTATAGCAGTTTTCAAAACTACAGCTAAAACTCAGTCAGCTAGGATGGAGAAAAGTGTTGTTCCTCCTTCTTCCACCTTGTTTTTAGTTCTCTGAAAAAGAAATATTTGCTGAAGAGCCCTTAAATTTTGGAGACCTAATTATTCTACCTATTTCTTGCAATTCATCCAGTCAGAGAACAGAAATGTATCAGCTTAGCAGTATTTTCAATCAAACCTACCCCATTTTAATATCCACTGTATCACCACCTCTGTTCTTACCAAAAAGCTCAGGGCTAGGAGAAACTTAACAGGAATCTGTCAATTGACTAGAGAATACACGTGGGAAAATTGCAACCTCTTTAGAGCAAGTGTTTCCAAGCTTTTAGGAACTCAAATAACTTTCAATTAAACTCACTAAAATAAGGCAACTAGAGCTGGTTGCTGAGGGCTGTGTCCAACTGGGTTTTGAGTATCTCCAAGGACGGGGACTTCCCACCCTCCCCGGGCAGCCCAGTCTAGTGTTCAACCACCTCCACAGTAAAAAAGGTTTTTCTTAAGTTTAAATGGAATTTCCTGAATGTCAGTTTGTGCCCATTGCCTCTTGTCTTGCTCTGAAGAGTCTGGCTTCAGCTTCCTTATCCCCCTGGCAATCACATATATATTGCTAAGACGCCCCTGAGCCTGATCTCATCCAGGCTGAACATTCCCAGCTCTCCCAGCCCCTCCTCATACGTCAGATGCTCCAAACCTTTAATTATCTCTGTGGCCCTTCGCTGAACTCTCTCCAGTAAGTCCACATCTCTCTTGTACTGGGGAGCCCAGCACTGGAGCCAGTGCTCCAGGCATCTCACCAGGGCTGAGCAGAGGGCAAGGATCACCTCCTCCGTCTGATGGAGGTGCTCTGCTGAGCGCAGCCCAGGATACCCACCAACCGTCTTTGCTGCAAGGACTCATCGCTGGCTCACAGTCAACGTGGTGTCCACCAGGACCCTCAGGGCTGGCTCCAGCCTGGCCTGGTGCATGGGGCTGTTCCTCCCCAGGGGCAGGTCTTGGCATTTCCCTTTGCTGAACTTCATGAGGTTCCTCTCAGCCCATGTCCCCGGCCTGCCGAGGTCCTTCTGGATGGCAGCACAACCCTCTGGTGTATCAGCCACTTCTCCCAGCTTTGTGTCATCTGCAAACTTGCAAACTTGCTGAGCGGTTCTCTGTCCCAGTGTCCAGGTCATTAAGGAGGGTGTTGGGCAGTATCAGCCCTGGGGGTAGCATTTCCTCTCATTGCTATGGAGGTGGTGGAAAACAACAGCCTTAGTCCCCCAGCTGATTTCTGAAAAAGCCTGTCACAGACATTGCCACTGGCCAATGTATATGTGGCAATAAACATAAACTCACATTTCTTTTGTTGTTTAATTTTCTTAATGGGTAGTTTTATGCAGATATATGGAATGATGCTGCCAGCCTGCAGGATCCCGTTTCCCAGCAAAATTCTTGCTTCAGTAACCCCCAGCAGCCAGCATGGCAACGAGACCCTTTTTATGCAAATAGATTCAGTTGCATTTCTACCAGTCCCCGCACAAGTCATGATTTGCCTTTTGGATTTTGGTAAAGCCTTTAACAGCAAGCATGGGAGCAGCAAAAGACCTCCTCCCTTTGGACGTGGGGCGCAGGGGGAGCCAGCATGCTGTAGCTCGCGCGCTGGCGAGGTGGAAGGGAAATGAAGCGCAAACAAAACGCGGGCAGAAAACACTTTGTCGCTGATTAAAGAAGAGGATGGGCCCTACACAAGGGGATTG